GTTCCTTGAACTGGAGCGGGAAGTGTGTCTTGACGAACTTCGAGATCGGCTTGACCTGAACGATGAACGGCTGCTCGGACTTGCGCTACGCGAACGAGACGACTCCCGACTAAGGGAGCGGGGACGGGCGCTAGAGTCGTGTGAGTACTTGCATTTGCTCCCGTACTTACACTTACCAGTTTTGGCATACTCATAGCATTGATTGCTTCCGTCACCCTTTGTGCTTCGTTTGCCATAACTTGGGCTTCGCGCGCGCTTGTCGTGCGGTGCCGGGTTTGCGAACTTTGCCGCGTGTGATTGTGATATCTTTTCGCGATTGGTCCTGAGCCTTTCCCTGTCAAGGTAACGTCGAACAGAATTGATAAGAAATTCATAGCTTCTGTCGTTACTTCCCTCCGGCGCTCGTTCATAAACATCAAGGTCAAATCTGAGCTTGCGGGACTTCCTAACCTCTCTATAAAACAAATCCTTGAGAGTTGCCGGGTCTGGGACATGACTCATTCCGGTCAGAACACTCTCCCATTTCCTTAGAAAGGATTTCAAGTCGTCGCTATCAAGCGAGATCTTGAGGAGGTCCTCAGTGCCATACAGTGCACCCGCTTCTTCACTGGTCTTGAAGTGGACTTCAAACATGAGCAACACCTGACGACCACGGACGATCCTACCTTGCTGTGCCTCAGATTCCTTATAATTAAGGATCTGCTGAGACAGTTCACCTTTGGCAACCTTAGTTAAAGCAGCAAGTAGTTTCGTGTCTAAGGTCCGAAACTTGCCTGGGTCAGCCAATTCGGAACAAAGCTTGGCTTTGTCTTCACGAACAGCGTACACCTCAAGCACCCATGCGAACGCAGCGTCTGGGTCATCGGACGCGGACCGTATCGCTTCGCGAACCGCGGCCCTCCAAGTGCGGTACCTGTCAGGACTTGGGAATTCAGGGAGATCTATCTTGTCAGCCTCCTTTGCCTTGGGCTTGTCGGAGTCTTTGCTTTTAGCGCCCTTAAACCCATCTAGCAAGGCCTTCTTGATGATTTCCCCCAAATCTTGGTCTTGTGGAGTTCTTACCTGAGAAGCCGGCCCTTCTTCTCTGCGATCATCCTTAGTCTTTGTTGCTTCCTGATTAAAGGAGCTTTTGTACAAAGGATCATCACTGAAGTTGTATTGTGTTGACTTCTTCATGTACTCCATCCACGGATCCGGTTGTTTGAATTGTTGCCTGTCTGTAGAGGCCGTTGCCTGTTCCGCTGCGGGCGCCCCTGTCCCTGAGAACATTGATGGGAATCCTGTGTTGCGCACGGACGCTGTTGCATCCATAGCTGTCTTTATAGGAGATCCACCTTTATCAAGGGGCTTACCGTCTAAGGTTGCTGGAACAGTGCCTTCCGTGCGTAGAGGTTCAAAAGATTGCGGTTGACCAATTGGGTGAGCATCTTGTCGAGCAGGAGGTGTGAATGGCTCAGGGTATTGCGGCCCTGGCTTAACGGGGCTAGAGGATTGCGCTTTGCGCTCCGCTTCCTTGCGTTCCTCTTCCCTGTCTGTCAAGGACTGTACGACACGCCTGAGCTCATCCATTTCACCCTTCAACATTGCATTGTCCTTGCGAAGCTCAACTATAGTTTGCTCTTGTGTTTCCCGATCAACTCTATGTTGCTTATTTGTAGCCTCCATTTCATTAACAAGGGTTTTGATCTTTGCCTGTGCAATTGCCAACGAACTGTCCAGTTGTTCTCGCTTGAAGTCAAGTTCTATAGCGATCCGGGATTCTTCAGCAGACGAATGTCTTGCCTGATCCTTTGCCTCTACGGCTGCCTTCAGCTTAGCCTCCTGTTGCTCAACATACTGGTGATGTTCAGTTCTCATTTTGTCAACAAAAGCGTTGCCTTCTTCCGCCATGGCATTCTTTTCCTGTACAACTTTCTCATGAGCTGCTGTCGCCTGAGCTAGCCGCTGCTGAAAATGTTCCCTTTGCTCCTCCAATGTACCTTGCAACCGTTTGATTGCAACATTGTCTTGCTGTTGGACCATTTGCTGAACACTTTGTTCCTGCTGTTGGGCCCTTTGTTGAACATTCAACATTGCCTGCTCTGCGGCAGCCTTTGTTGCCGCTATAGATTCGGAAGCTTCTCTTTCGTAAATACTCCTGAAGCGCAATGCCTCGATTTCAGCTTCCCTCCTGGCTTGTTCGCTGAGCAAAAACTCATGTTGTTGTAACTCCCGTCGTAGTTCTTCGTCGTTTGGCGATGCGTTCAGGTTGACGACATTGAGCCGAGTCATTGCCAACAAGTTGTTTACTGTTGGCGCACCAGCTACGGTGGCTGACGGCATACCTGCTAGGGTAGCTTGTGCCGCCTCTTGAAGAGTAACACTACCACCACTATTTAGCATCTCTTGGTACACCTCCGAAGCAACCCTTGGATCCATTGCAGCCACTTGTGCAACTGCCTGTTCATGCCGTTGAACTGCATCCAAACTATTGGGCACACTCGGAACTATGTCAAAGCCACTTCCGTAGGCATTCGGTGGGACGTCGTCATCCATTGGGTCCATAGCTCTAATCTAGCTAGCCTACGGCTGATAACCTGTATTTTACAGGATCAGCTCTAATAGTACTAACTACCTAGCTAACCCTGCTAGCCCGGTAAGCGCTACCTTTTGCTCTACCTTGAGAGTCAACGCTACGGGGTCCATGGGGATGAGGTGAATTTCAACACATGGAAAGCACCTCTGCCAAGTTGGCACATCATGATGACCCTATGGGATGCACCTCCAGCAGCGCCGTGAAACAATTAGCTGATGGCACTGATGGCCCTATGGGTTCAGGGAAGCAGGGAAGCAAACTTAGCTGGATCTTCACACGACACGTGCACCTCCAGCAACGCCGTGAAACAATAGCGCCAGCCTTAATATATAGGTTGAATCGTCCCAGATTTCAACCCTGCTAAAGAATCCAAACCTCTCAGCCATCTAAGCTGCAATGGACATGTCAACGGGCTGATGCCCAATTGCCAATGAAGCCTGGACTCTCACATCCATTCGATGATCTAATTACCCCACACCACCACCTCCGTCTCAGTGGCCAATGAACAGGTCAACCTCCTTCTCAGTCCACTCCGCAGCATCTGCGGGGAAGTTCAAGGAGCCTTGGCACTGGATCGTTGCACAGGGTTGCGGGGCAATGACAAGCCCCGTCTCGGACAACCCAAGCGGACCCAAGCCTGTCCCCATGTTTCTAATGGCCTGTGACCCAAGCCTGTCCCAAGTGGTTACGGATGAGTGAGGTCAGTTGAAGACTTGGCCTTCCAGCCTTCCAGTCTAAGGTTTAGGATCGAATATTGCTGCCGCCTCGAAAAGAACACAGAAAGAGATATGTGCCCTCATCTACTTATGGATCTAGTGTGATGGACAAGCAGCGTCTCCACCTGGTCCTTGATCTCCCTAGAGCCTCGTGGGGCCTGGATGTAGAGTGACCTCCCAGCAGATCCTCAGTAGATGCACCAAGGAGCTGGGTGTCACATCAGGATATCTCGCCAAAACTGTGGCGATCGTCGGGCTCAACTCCATGGCTTAGGCACTCCATGCGCGACCGAGAAGGTGTTCCCGACAAAGTTGAAACGTAAACAACAAACGCATCTTTATTGTCATCGATTCAACTCCTGCGGCGTTGGGCCCTCAAATTGAGTCAACGTGTACTTATATTTTCTATTTCTTGGCTGATCTCCCGATTAACGTCTTCATGGGTATACAATGTGTGTTGCGGACATGTCGGGAAGGGGAATTGGAGGTGCTGCAGGCCCTGCAGCTTCAGCAGCCATGTAGCACTATATATGGCTCAAGTGAAGTCGTGTTAAGCTTTGTTGGACACCTGGATGTATCAAGCGAAAAAGGCCAACAGCGCTCAAGCAAACAGGCTAAAGAGCGGCGATGGCGGGCAAGAGATGGTAGGCACCTACGATAGGGCCGTTCTTGCTCATTGGCTCAAGAGGGGGAGTGTCAAAAGTTTGCAAATAACATAGTGTTGCAGTGGTTGCAAAGCAAAATGGTAAACCCCAAAATGTTTCTTGGATGGAGGTCCAAATATACAGTAAACCACCATTTGGGGAACCACTGTATGCATAAGTTATACTATGACATCTCATTCAGCCCTTGATGCTCCATGACCACGTCGCACCTTACAAGTTCCAAGCCGCAGCTTCAATACGCAAGTTTGATGACAAATCGTGCTGTTCAAATCTTTCACACGGGTATCGGGTAGGCAAATCCGTGATCCCTCCAACCAGCATGCGCATCATTATCATCGTCGTCATCATCATTATAGTATATTCATGTATATTATAGTATTCTTGGATGGCTTTTCTCACGCTGGACAGGGGAGGCACTTTGAGCAAAAGAGACCAAAGGATTGGCGAGAATCGGGGTCTTTCAGCCGGAGGTCTCGGCTTTCTGCCGCGAATGCTGGAGGTCTCACGCAGCTTTCAAGTGGCCTGAATCACGGTGGGGGAACTATGTCTGTTCATGTCTGACCCGTCCTGCGGCCCCTGCGTCTCGCTGTGGAGGTCCTGACAGAACATGTGCCAAGGCATACGGTTTCGGCAGTTCAATTGGAAGCCCATGTATGCATGGCTTGGACCAACCATTTCGCCAAATGCTATGGACCTGTTAAAGTCTTGGTCACTCTCTTCTGCATCAATGTATATGATTGGGTCTCCTCCTGCCAGAACCCAGTCAAACTTCTATTAGTCAAACATGTGCAGCAAATTTATGATTTAATAGTTATTAAATCGTTGTTGGCAAGTGAAAACGCATTCTTAAAATGAATGCTAGTTCCTGCTAGCCTTAGTTAGTTGACACGAAACAGTGGCCTGTGCTAAACTCAGTTGCTTTAGTAACTTTAGCGCTTGAGTATTTGTAGAGGATCCTGGACCTTGCACCACACCATCTGGTGGCTACTTTCAGCAACAGAAATGACAAATTAAGCAAATGTCCAACCAAACCAAACTATACAATTAAGCTGATTCAAACGCATCGCTCATGCCATTTCCGCTGATGTTGCAACGGTCGACCCGCCGGGCCTGCGGAAGTGAGCCAGGCACTTCACCTCGACGGCAGCGAACACCCCACCACGACGATCCCACAACGCGAACAGCGAGGCCCACCAGGCCATGAGCATAACTCCCAGCATAGCAGCATAGCATGGACGATGCGGAGAGAAAAACGATGTCAACTATTCCGAATACATTGAAACAAACACGTATTTACAGAAAAGCACGGGAAGCTTACAGAATCCAAAAGCACGGCTTCCATCATTTGACTGGGAGATGGGGATGACTTGCAAGCCTTCTTTTGGTGGCTGACAATGGGTCACATTCGCTACGAGCCAGTGCTGTTCACCAGTGGCACGGGTCAGCTAACCACCCGCCTTTGGCGAGCTGGCCATCAGCAGTATCGTATGCCACTGGCCGGGCTCTAACCTCCAGCGACCCATGTTCGGGAGTCATGTCTAGACGCTTCAAATCCTAAACATCTCCCCGGAGAAGCAGGCACAAATTTTGGAGAACCTTCGTGGAGACAAAAGGAATCAGTGAGCCTCTGCTTCATGCAGTGGCAGTTTGTCCTTAAGGCATTTACTTGTAGGTTTAATCAGCAACGCCCTTGATTCTCTGTTGGCTCCTAAATACACAAACAAGCAGCTATGAACAATTGCACGGTATTGGAAAATTGCAATTCCAGAGTTGCCAAGGTATCGGTGCAGCAAACCATGCTTCTCCACGAAGGGGGCACCTTCAGAATTTAGAATCCATCAATTTCCGTGCTTGTCTTGAGATGATATAGGCAGCATCTGCGTCCCGAAATGTGGCTTTCGCCTCTCCCCAACATGGCGTGGACTTCGGATGACTTAGGCATCTGATCTCCAAGTGAGTGCCGCCAATGCTAGGCCATCCCGCCACTTCCTGAGATGTACCTTGGATGGGACTTGTCTGAAAGTGGGACGCACAATAACAGCAAGAAAGCACTGGGCTTCCTGTTGAACCGTGAGTCGATGACAGTCGGTGGGGAAGGACGTGCGTCGATGGGGAAGGGTCTAAAGCAAGAGCTGATCTGACAGGTGCCTCAGTAGCTCAAAAATGCTCAAAGCAGCGTCGGCAACCATCCCAGTTGGTCCCCTCAAACCTTGCCAAGAGGGTTACAGGACAAACATTTAGGATCGTTTAGGTGACTTCAGCCATGTTGCTGGTGTTTTTCGTGCAACATGGCAGGCTGTCACATCCCGCTGCCTGCCCCATGGCCAAAGTGAAACATCGATGCTTGAGCTTTCACCGGCAGCACAGGCGCATCCACAGCAAGGACAGAAAGGGATGCAGCAAAGACTTGGTTTCGCAAAGCAATGGGTTTCTAGTTTTTGGCTTGTGCTTGCAGCTGTTCGCACAGAACACAACAAGTTCGTAGCTGCAGCTATAGTTGAAAGCTCCCTTCTCAACCTTGCATGGCCGTGCCGTTCTGCCTTACACAAGCAAAGAATGGCTGCTTTTTCTTGCACGTGGTCCAGTTGTCTGCTCTTCAAGCTGAGGTCGGGGAGCCGGCTGATTTCGACCTCAATGCATGATTTGCACATGGGAGTGCCTTGGGAGACTTTACCTGAAGAGAAGCTTGGGAAAGTCCTCAGTGTTCGATGGCACCAGAAGTGCCAAAGTGACGAGCAAGTGGATTTCTGAGAGCAAACAAGCTGCAGGTTTGAATTTCTGCAATGTGGAATGATGTGCAGAATCTCTCAATTGCGGACATTCCTAATGATTGGGCCGCTGCCCCCCTCAGCATTTCTCGAAACAGGACATGAGTGACATGCGTGGGTTGAAATATATATATATTGTATATGTCCAAATGATTCCCGTAAATGGAGGTAAATGGTGATTTGGTGAAACAGCAAAAGTCGCATTACATAAATCATTTAAACCCACGTACCCGAGCATGAACCTTTCGGAACCTCTTTTGACTGGATTGTTCTGGAACCGAACATGCTCGAACATGCTGGAAGCTTCAACGAGCGATGGAGCAAGATTCAAACAATTGAATTTAAGGATTGGAGCTACAGTACGTGGCTGCAAGGGCCAGTGGGAAAAGCTTGATAGGCTGCACCTGCAGTTCTTCCCGAAAACGTGGGGAGACCTGAGATACATAATGTCCAGCCATGTCCAGCTGCCGAGATTCATATTGAGATCGGGAAAACACTTTTGCTCTAGTTGACCCTTCTCAGGGCTGACAGACTTGTCCCATCACAAGGATCCATTGCTTGACCGCCACGTCATATATGGATCACTCACACCATCTGAGCCTCGCACCCGCACTGCCCACTCGGAGAGACTTGGCTCTTGACCTGGTGTCCATATAGCAACAGCCAACAGGCCAACAGGCTAACGACTTAAACCGGTGATATGTACTATTATATACATGGTTGTTTCATGTTGCTTCACATGCTTCTTGGTGAAGGGAGGTTCATGGATGTTCCATCAGTGCCTGGCAGTAAACCATATTGTTATACTCCTAGGCACAGGTCCAGGTGATCTGGATGGTGGCAACACATGGCGTCTCACGTCGGCACGGGAGAAGAAGTTGGGCCAACTCTGGCAGCGATGGGAGAGCTGCAGAATATGAAGCAATGTCGAAGCAAGGAAGGAAAAGGAGCATCAAACATCATGAAACCGGATTGCTGGTCATGCAAGATCAAAAATAGACAATAATAGAATCTTGCAAGGATTTCAGAATGTTGATGGCCTTTGGGCGAAGTCATGAAGTAAATCCCATGAGCCTATTTCAATCACCATCACATGGTGAAGAGATGTGAAGAGTGTTCACTGGCTGCCAGGAGCACCGTCCAGTTGTTGAATTCGAATGCTTCCCAAATCCGAAAGGTTTGAGGACAACAACTGTCATCGGCTCTTCCAAGCATGATCTCAGGACATGCCGCCGGACCGACCACAACACGAGCCGAGCCGACGGCGGCCCCGGCACCGGCACCTCAGTTTCAGCAACGCGTGGCGACTTCGGGGCTCTTCGTAGACCAACGAGGCCTCGTAGCCTGCGCGCGAGGACTGAAGAGGTCAACGCTTAGTGGGTGAAAAGCCCGACGAGCATGGCGCATTTAGAAGCCATCAATGATACATTCAGGTTTGTGTCGCAAAGTCTACGTGGACTATTCTTTGAGACTTGAGCGCAAAACCTAACAAAAGCACATTCGCGACGAGACCCCAAAACATGTTCAGTCATCAACTACCCAGTTAAAACCTGATTCTGAACCAGGCTCGATCATAGCCACCCCTAAGTAGCACCAAGAACTATTCAAGTCGTGCTGCCTGTCGAAGTCCCGTTCGTCCACCTTTTGAGATGCCAAGCTCGCCCACATTGCACGCCGGTCGCTTCATCGCGCCTGCCATCTCAGCGACTTTGACTGCGGCCTTCCACTCTGGATAGATCATGGAGAAGGTCTCTCCTTGAAGGGTTCCAAAGCCTCGGGCGCGCACCGAGAAGCACAGCGAGAAGAACGCAGAACAATCCGGGGCCAAAAACATGGTTGCAAGCGACCTCTTTGGGCGGTCATGTATGGCATTGCTGTGCAGCTCTTGTTTCCGAGGAGCGCTTTCAACCGTTGCAGTTGGTTATATACATTATATAACTATTTGGCCTTGGAACCTGATGAAGGAAGACCCTGCCAAAGCACAAGTTGCACCACAAGTACTTGACGTTTTTCTCAGTTGTGGTGGATCCACAAAGTACAATGCGTGATTTGTGAACATCCTGCCAAAAGTCAAAAGCGTGTGAATGCCAACGCTGGTGGGACATGTGAACCATTTCAAGATACCGGGGGTCCTCTGCAATGTGGCGGTATGGGTTTCCCGCAGTTCACCGGTTCTTTGGATATGAATGAATTTCAATGGACAACCACCTGGGCAAAACTTTGGATAAACGATGTGCCTTAGGTTCTACCAGGAATGTCTCACACACAAAACGTATAACATTAAGCCTGCTGCCTCCCCGGCAAACGTCCTATCTTACCAAACAATCTCGTCAAAACAGTATCTGCTAAGGCAACTTAGGGACCCTCTGTTGAGTGTGTAGGGACTGAAGTCGGTCGCATACCTTAGTAAGTAATAAATTTGTTCCCTCCCCTCCGCCCTGAGGCTGAGAGGCTCAACCAACAATCCAGTCGCGCCCAAAGCCCATTCTGCACATCTTCTGCTTGAAGCCTCGCAGGAGGGAGCCGGTGCAGTGGAGATTCCTCACCCCGGAGCGGGCGCGACATGAACGGCGCAGGGTGGTCGAGTGCGGAATGAACCTAGTTTCAGGTTGGTGCATCAACACCATGTTTGTTTTGCAAAGGATGCCCAAATTCGGGAATACGCATATTAATACATCCCGCCTTACAGGGCCAAAGAATAAACACATCTGAAAACATCCAATTTGGATAAGCAGAGTCAACCCTTTCATAGCTAATATTTTCTCGCGTTTTCTCTTCCTCACGCATAATGTAAAATGTGGTATGATGTGATGAATTTATAAAGCTGATGATGTGGTGTGATCTAATTACTGTTTCTGCCCCTGGTATAAGGACAGTTGATGAAAACCATCCCAAACCCAATGGTTCATTATGTCAATTCACCATAATTCACCCCATGTCATAACTTGTCTTCATTCCCACCCAATCTTGCCTGCTGACTCGCCGCGCCCGCCGTACCGCCGCCCAATCGGGGGGTGACCTCGTCGTGGTCTGTCGCCCTGTGGGACTTTGATTCCCAAGGCAAGCTTAAGAATAGAAGAACCATTATGACAGTCAGCTCTCTTTTTTGAGGTCCCGAATGATTCTTGAAGGACTTCCAAAAATCATATGTATATTACATATATATGTATATATACATACAATTATGTACATAAAGCAGCATCATGCATCAAAAACAAACAGCATCCCAAGTACCTTGACCAAGCACCGTCGATCCGAAATGTGTCCAAGTTCTTCTGGGGGGTGAGAGAAAAATAGAAAGAACAGCAACACAACAATCAAGAGGGCTCAAAAAGAAAAAGGAGAAGAGTCACAAAAAAACAGTTAGTAGTAGTAGTAGTAGTAGTAGAAGTATTAGTAGTAGTAGTAGTAGTAGAGGGGTAGGGCACAGCGCATCCTACTAAGCGAAGGTTTCTGGCTGTCACGCTAGGCCAAGGTGGGCCTTATCATCCACCTTTGTGGCAGCGTCAACGCAAAGAAGATAGTCGTTGTGGAAACTGCAGTAAAACTCGTAGTGGGGTGGTCGGAGTGATAGAGGCACTGGTGATAGTAGGGCTAGTGTTTGGCAGTGGGAACTATTTAAAAAAGCGTGAGACGGTGCGGGGGAGGGCGCAATGCAAATCAAGTATAGGCAGCGCTGGGCTGCTTCGTTTCTTGATTGGTTTATTTGGGTGTCAGAGCTCAAGGTGAAGGTCCTATCATCCAACTTTGTGGGGTTGTCAGAGCTGAGCCTGCACTTTCATTCACCTGCGGCGCTGGCACAGCTAAGCGGAGGTGGGCCTTATCATCCTCCTTTGCGGCGTTGTCACGGCTAGGGCCTTATCATCCACCTTTGTGGCGGTGTCAATGCAAAGAAGATAGTAGTTGTGGTACCTGTGGTAAGACTGGTACAGTAGTGGGGTGGTCGGAGTGTTGGAGGCACTGGTAGTAGCAGGGGTAGTGGCAACTACTAAAAAAGCGGGAGGGGGTGCGGGGGAGGGCGCAGTGCCTCTCCCGCAATGCAAATCAAGTATAGCAGCGCTATCCCCCTACTGGGAAATACTCTACCAGCAAGCTAGCCCCCCACTGGGAAGCTATCTCTCTACTAGGGAGCTACCAAGGGGACCAGCAGACCAGGGGACCAAAGGACCTAGTCAGTTGATCCTGATATTAATATGTTATGTTTGATCCTGATGCCCTTTTGGGAAAGGACCTGAAACATCGGTTTCCACCTCGATCCACTAGCCATCCACCTATCCGTTTCATCGGCCAAGCGGCACATCCAACAGCACCTGGCCGTCAGGCGCCATAGCCTGGTGCAGCCCCTCGAGGAGCTCCTTGAAGCCTGGCAAAAGTGCGAACACATGCGAACACGAAGGTGAGAGAAGGGAGATTAAAAGAACAAAACGGAAAGACACATCATGAAAGCAAGTTTTCTGCATCTCTTTACGCCAAAGGTTGCATGAAAGTAAAAGATGGAGGCCCGGAAGGCCAGGTGAAACATTGCTTCTAAGACCCTGTCACCACTTCTGTGAATGGGGCTCTGTCGAATTCTGGAGTGTTCATCAACTTCGATTCATCCGCACTCGTCCGCAAAAAGCAGGATGATTGATGAATCATGAATCAAAAGTAGCTAGTCGTGTCGTAAACTAGTGTGGTGATGTGCTCCCATCCTTTTCGACCGATGAGGTTGTGGGACCCCCCTATTCCTTGTTGAAACAAAAGCACGTTCGCCAGAAAGCACGTCAGGCCAACGCACCATGCTGCCGGCAGCACCTCAAGCCGAATGGTTTCAGCGCCAGATTGCTCTAAGGTTGGAGCTTGGACGATCTTGTACAATCTGCAGGACTACTCTCTCTGGAACTAACCAAAATGGTCTTCAAAAAGGCAATTTCCACTTCCATGTTAGTTCCAAGGAGTCCATCTTTGGTTTTGGACTATCTTTCAGAATATGTTTTCACCTGCATGGACGACCTTGGACCTAAAGATTCTACATAGACCACCGGACCCACCTGAAAACAACCAAATGCACTGCTTGCTGAAACCAAAAGAAAAGCAAGCACCTGCAGTGTTCATCAGCATGAGCAAGGTGTCGTACTGTGGCCTTGGCCCATGACCGGTCTCAATCAATGACCTGCTGCAGGAGTTTGTCCCTAAGCAGAAGGATCTCCCAAGCGGGAATTGTGGGATCCCCAATAAAGGCAGTTGCCCCTCACACAAGCAGCTTGCTATAGAAACCTTGTATGCAGCACAGGACCTCCGCTCTGCAGGAGCCGCCTACACGCTTTGCGCAAACTTCTGGGCCTCAATAATTATGCACATTCCAAAGTCTTGCGGACCAGCGACTGCTTCTCAAGCTTCCAAAAGCTGCCTGATCTGAGCGGAATGAGACACAGACTCGGGGCACCCACAAGATGTAAAGACTTTCCTGGACTAGGCACTGAAGACTCTGTAACTCCATCAGCTCACACCTATTTCACCCCACGCGCTTGTCCTTCGCTTTGGAGGTGACACTATATATTCAACACATCCCTCAAAGCATCCATGGGGTCGTCTGACCACCGGAGCCGAGCCTCGCTTGGCAGAAACGCCGCGCAAACGCATCACCTGTGGCAAGGGGAGATCTGTGCGGCTGGGTGCCACTGGATAGCGCATGCTAGCTCCCCCAATTGCAGAACTTCTCCCAAGACCCCCACCCCATGAATGCATCGCGGTTCACACAAACACACCAATGACAGGTCGCTACTTGTCTCCGGGCCACCTGGCCAGTCAGAACAGAACATGGTGACGGGTCACGTCCAGTCCCTCCCGGTCATGTGGACGCGCGACCACGCTACACGCGAAAGTCACGTCCGTCGGTGCCTCCACCGCTTCGGGGCAAAGATCGAGGCCTTCAGCTTCTACACCTACGAACGGAACAAAGGGCATCGCTACGAACGGAGCAAGGACCCTACTAGGAGCTCCTGGCACTACTACTAGTAATAGAAACTAGTAGCAAATTAGCTACAATTCCAAATATTCAACACTTCCAATTATTAGCTACTAGGAACAAGGGCATTTCCACTAGGTGCAAGGACGCCTCTACACCTCCGTTGATGGTATTGATGGGAAGGAGGGGAAGGTGTTGATGCCATGTAAACCTCGTCAAGGCCTAGCTGTTCACATCTGTTCACCCATCCTTGGTGGTCCATGGGGTCGGATCACCAAGACATTGACTGACTCAGAGGGGACCGGGGGCCAAAGAGCCAAGTAGAATCCGTCGAACTGCCATCCGAGTGATGCATCATTGACTTACGCTGTTGGTGTTAATCTGTGACTTAAGGGCGGAGTGGCATGAAATCCATGACAAAGCTGCCAAACATGGCGTCCCCATTCCTGTGCCAATTGCTTTCATGGTTGGGCCTGAAAGGTATCACATCAATCTTGGGTTCTTGGCTGGTGATCTCTGCCTATAGGGCTGCTTTTGATCAGATCAGTGGATTGATTAAAAGTATTACCTCAAGCACGGAATCGTGGAATGTGAATTGAAGCGCAGCATGAGGATCTCTCTCCCTCTCTCTTCTCTCCATCGCCCTCTCCAAGAGTTCAGCCGTCGCCTAAAACCTAAAACAGTTAAAACGCGTGAGGATCGTCCCCTGTAGATGTGATACTTTCAGGATCTTTCAGGAAAAACAATCTCGGGCGTGGCAGGCTTAGAAAAGTCTTTTTGGTTGTTTCATGCTCCATCCAGTTGACCTACAACACAGCACAAAAAGCTTAAGAAACTTCAGAACATTTGAGTGAACTCTCAGCTGTGTCTAGAAGGCCCAGGGACCTAAGGGCATCAGGAATCATAGGTCCCAAACATCTTTACCATATTTACCTAAGGAGAGGTCAGTTCTTTGGCACATCCGATGCATCCTTTTCAGGCAGCGCCAAGTGGTGCTGCGGGCTGCTGCCGCACCAGCTAGTCAGTCTGAACAAGCCTTGATGCCTTTGCACATTGGCCAAAGAGAACCGAAACGATCCAAGTATGTTGATGATGCCTCCCAGGAGCTGAAATTCCCTAGTAGCGTCCTTGCTCCTAGCAGCGAGGCCAGGAGCCCCTAGTAGCGTCCTTGCTCCTAGTAGTAAGGCCAGGAGCCCCTAGTAGCGTCCTTGCCCCTTATGAAAGCCTATGAAAACAAACTCCTGAGAATACATCCCACCAAAATGTTGGACCGTCAGTGGTTCCTCACATGCACCGTCCACCGCTTCACATCGAGCTGTCACAGCTCCGCTGGAGCCTGCGTGCGTGCCGGGTCCGTTGAAGACCTTGTGATATGGTTTGAGGGTCACTTGGGCCTCGAAAAGGTCACTATAGGGAGTCCAAAAAGGTCACAAAGCTGAAGCAGTTGGACATCCGATCTTCTGTCATCTTCGCCTCATTGAGGTACACGGCATGACTCCCAGTACTTCTAGATGTCGCGCTTGTTGTAGGTCCCTGCGATGACGCGCAGGCTGGATTGGGGCGATCCGAAAAGCCGCAGCTGTGTTCCCCATTTGCGCAGTCGAATTAGACTGGCCCCAACCGATGCTGGGATTTTCCCAATTGCCTATTTGCAGCACGTGCGGGAAATTCAGCATCCCCTGCGTGCAACATCATGTATCTAATTATGCTAGCATGTAGGCAACACAACAGCTATACGCCAATATAGAGTTACAAACTAAGTTGCGAATAATACTCTGCACCATGAACGTACCTCCTTATTCTGCTTCCTCCACTAGGCCGTTTTGCAACCTTTAGCAAAACACAAAACAGGACCCACAAACAAACATCAGGTGACCAAGGTCAAGTAAAAACAACCCGCAACGTGAAAGCAGCAGGACCCTCATGAATTGAAAGGATTTCAAGTCTCAAGAACTCAAGGCATGAACACCAATGTCTCTGACGTGGCCTTTGTAGTAGCGTTGCATTTGCTCGAAGGTGTAGGACCTTCCATCCTGAGCTGTTTGTCGATCCGTTTGAGCCCACTGAGCCATTGCCATGCGGATGCCAGGAGTGTGCGCCCAAAGCTAGACCACGAGTTTTCTTGGTTTCTGGCTCTGGCCGGTCAAGCAGCCAATTCTGACTTCCTAGTGCCCAAACACAAACAACAACTCTTTATCTGGCACGGACCCAGTGGTGGCCATTCACTTCATGTCGAGCATTGCCACACGACATCACTCCTTGTTGCCTCATAGCCTTGCAAAGCTAACACACACACAAACACAAACACACACACACACACACTTTGACAATTGTATTCAGTTAACTCAATTCCCCGAGGAAAGGAATGGCTCAACGGTAAGGTGAGGAGTCCGATCAATTGAAGATGTTTTAACAAGTGGTTTGTGCACAACTGCGGCGGCAAGCTGCAAAAAAGCGTGGCTGCTGAAAGTGGCTGAGAAACTTGTTTGGGGGGAGGTAGCATGAAGAAGAACCATGAAAACAAAAAGGGAAGATTGGACAGCGTGAGCAACAGTTTCTGGCATCTACACGGTCAGACGTCTCTGACCGCACCCCATGACATCACTAGCTTCGTTGGCCAGCGTCGCGATGTCATGCGCTGGCCCCCTGCGGGTGAAACTGTGGTTAAAATTGCGGTGGGTGAGGTGGCGGTAGTGAACCCTTGGCCCAGGGGTTGACACACTCTGACAATTGTATTCAGTTACACTCAATTCCCAGGTAGAATGGCGATGGAACGGAAAGGTGAGAGAGTCGG